AGTAGACATCAAAGCCTCTTGAATTCATCTTTAAAAGGGGCTTCTATATATTGTTGTTGTTGTTGTATTTTGTTTTGAAATCTGTACGGCCTTGGACAACCAAGTCCTTATCAAAACAACCGAAGTCTGGGTTGTCCAGTATTTGCCAGTATGGACAACCTGGATGTTTTTCTAATTCCGAGCAGTGTATGTTGTGTCTAATAAGTGCTCAAAAAAAACAACAGGCCAACGAATTTGAACTACATGCGAAAGATCAGGTATTCTTATTGATAAATCAACATAAGTAAATAAATCAAAAATGATTCGTATATGAGAACGATCCTTCGCAGTACAGGCCTGAAATTTTTTTCAGGTCTGATTTTCACTATTGCTCAAATAGTGCTTTACTGCGAAGGATCGTTCTCATATACGTCTCATAACCGCAGTTCACACATATGTTTCATATGTTTGTTGTTGTTTAAATCAAAAATGATTGTTAACTGATAGTATTAATCTACTATTAAAAGTAATTTCCACTCCATGATAAGCAATATCTGCTTGCAATGTTTCAATCTTCCTCAATTGTATATGTACTATTTAAAATAAAAATTTCAGAGCAAACTTTTTTTCTACGTTATAAATGTCACACATTCTTGCAAGACAGCAATGAAACTACAAAAAACTTAATATTGTTCCAAAGCACAATAATGCTTATTAATTTGTGAACATAACAACCCAACTGTAAATCAAAAGCAAACTCTAAAACTGCATGTGTTACAAAAGTGTGACCTTTCAGTCAATGCAAGAAAATATCAACAAAGTCCAAGAAGGGGCAGTACCCGCTGGAAATAAGCATTTATGGACAGTCTTTTAAATAATTTTTAAATAATTTTTTAAATATAGACTAGTGAGCAGCACTTCTGAGAATAGTAGCTGTAAAATTTTCTTTATTTCCGACGCGTTTCGTCTAACTGTCGTAGACTTCTTCAGGGAGTTTTACAAGTATAACTAAACGCCTGTATTTATAAGGCAAAGTTACGGGGACCGATGACCGTAGAGGCTTGGCCTTATACGTTTTAAATTTTTCACAACTTCGCCTGTTCCTGTTCGCCTGTTCCTGCTCTTAAGTCCGGCCAAGCCTCTACGGTCATCGGCCCCCGAAACTTTGGCTTAGAAATACAGGCGTCTAGCTATACTTGCAAAACTCCCTGAAGAAGTCTACGACAGTTAGACGAAACGCGTCGGAAAATAAAAAAACAGTTTTAAAACTACTGTTCGCAGAGGTGCTGCTCACTAGCTAGTCTATATTTGAAAAAAAAGTAATTATTTATTTTTTGGAGGAGAGGGCGTTGAGGGATGCACATATCACTGGCCGCCATAATGGAGGGGGTACACATATCACAAGTGATATGTGTGCGGGGATACACACATCACGGGGTACACATATCACTGTGACACCGCTCTTTTGGCCTCTTCTACAAAATCAGACGGCCGCTCTTTGGCCGTGAACGAGGAATAAATTTCTCTTTTAGATCATCTCTTGGCTGAAGTCTCAGGAAGAACCAATCAAAATTCGTATGTCATTTAGCCTATGATACAAAAGCACCGGATACCGTTGCTGGGTGTAGCTTTTAGTACACGTGATTACAAATTGTTCAACATCTAATGGCAGACAGTCCAAGCATTCGCAAGGTCTCTGAAACTTCGAGAACGGTATGTATTATCTGATTCACTGAATCCAAGGAGAATTCCAAAGAACCTTTTTAATTTTCTTTTGTATTTTGAATTTGTTTTTGTTGTCGATTTTTAGAATCAGAGTAATAATTTCTTTCCATTCGCCGAGAAACAACCAGTTACGTAATCACGTAAACTAAACTTAACCCGTCACATGCGATGTGTGTCATTATACAGTTGACGATGACTGGTTTTCAGTTATACTATCATATGTGAATCAAGTAAACCACGATCCTTGACCGATCACTAGCGAGCGAGCTAAATATTCAATATCAATATAACTTAGTAAGAGTATTATAACTAATGAATGAATGAAGGAATGAAAGCCTTTATTTAAAGAGGGTAGAACTTGATAGCCGGAGGCTAATAAACTTGTGGCCCTCACATATTACACAACTATATACAATTAGATAAATATGTAAGCTAAAATATGTAAACATTTAAAATAAGCATTTAAAATAAGACAAGATTCAATTAAGAAGATATCATTAAATAGTAAAATGATGCAAACATTGTTCTTCCTTAAAAATCTTGGCAAACATGTTCTTTTTAAAACATGCTATAGAATCTAGTTTCCTAATTTCAATAGGTATACTATTCCACAGTCTTGTAGCCGAAACAGCGAAAGAGCGTCCTCCCTCT